ACTGCTGCTGTTTTCGTCAATGTCTGCCTCTTCTTCGCTAACAAAATACGTGAACGAACGTTAGTCTTTTTTCTTTCCTTTCACTTCTTCCCACTTGGAACGGTGCTATCCCTTATTTTTTGTGGCGCGAACCTCTCTTCGAGCGCCGTTGATGCTTCACTCGAAAAAATGCGCTCCTTGATTTTATACCTTTATTTGAAACTGGTTTTAGAAGCAGCTAGCCCCGCGTCCTTGAAGACAATCTCGCGATCAAGTATTACGAGTAGGCAACGTTCAATTATGAAACAGCAGCCGTTAAGTGACTTTCTAGTAGAAGAACAAGCAAAAAATACATTGAGAACACCTCAAACGAAACCCCTCATGACAGTCACAAGCCTCATTGTACGGATTCGGTTCTCTGGACTTGCTGGCTACTCGACACAATGCGGCCTCTGCAGGCCAAATAAATCGTTTTTATGCATCCTCCAGTACTGCATGTCACTAAAATAAAAAAACAGAAAATAGCTCTCAAAAACTAAAATTCTGTTCATGAAAGCAGGATTACGGTAACCATTGGATGACGCTTCTGCACCAAATCACTCGCCTAAGCCTTGCGAGTGGACTGCCACTGACATATTGCTTCCAAAAACGTATCCAAAAGGTAAAGCAGATCACTTCGTAAGCATTACAGAAGAGTAAAAAAATCAGAAGAGCAGACAAACTAGGGCTCTCATCGACTAGTATATGAAGTCGTCTTACAACGCTACAAGCAACAAAATGCATACACGTAATTCCGAGTGTAAGCCGCTATCTTGCAGAGTGAAAATAATACGAGCGTCAGCACCGGTTGGACATTTTTGGGCGGGCGGCGCGGTGGGCTTCCCGATCAGTATGTTGCAGCTTGATAGGACCCTATGAGGTGGATGAGTAGATGGAACCATCCTCCAGTCTCGATGAAACACGGTAAAAACCTCGTGGTGAAACAGTAGTTGGAAAACGTTGTCGTTTTTCCTTTGACACTGAATGTTGAGTTACAAGTGTGACATGACGAAACTCACTGTCAGTCCGTTCTGAGCAGTAAGGTCGCATCACTGTGCTTGACGGTATGCGATTTTCTTTTCTCCGGCCACGTTATTCACTACTTCGGTTTTTTGGGTGTGTCAAAGCTCACTACCTGAGAAGTCTTCTAATATATATCTCCTAATTTGCACATAATGAGTTCTTGCGCTGGTGGTCCACTGGTGGCACTTCCGACCTCTAGTTGGTTAGCAGGCCACGAGCAGGATGTTGAAACGTTGGCTGGAGCGGACTTGAGTAGCATGACGGCCACTTAGGAATCATTGCACAGTATCCTGAAATTTTAAAAGGAGAATTTTCAGTGAGGTGGTATTTCACTAATTAGTCATAACCAGTACGGTTAGACTATGTCACAATTGTAAAAATTTTTCTGTCGTACGAGATTCTAAGGTGCGACAGCTCATTGAATACTTTCGGCTTAATGTTTCTGATCATCTCCCTCGAAGGTCTAAACGTGTTTCGTGCTTAGGAAATGGTTACTACCCCGTCAAGCGTCGAGTGATGTTGTAACCTCGGCATTGACGCTTACTATGTTTCGTTTACTCTATAATATAGTAAATGGCAATGCCGAGGTTACAAAAGGGGGAAGCTGGAGAATATCAAGGTAGAACGTCGGCATGAAAACTGTAGCTGCAGTCATACTGCTATCGTCGATCAGGTCATGTTCAGGATGCGCTTCAACGTCAGTGGCCGTTACCAGGCTTTCGAGAACATCACGGTCACCAAACTAGTTGGTATGGCAGCCTTTTCCCAATTGCTTGTGATGACCACCTACTCGACCGCTATGTACATGATTCGAACACGAGGTGGTGGTCTACCTGACGTCCTCAGACAGAACATACGGATATGGTTTTACGTGAGTCAAATCAAATTTCGATTATTTTCCCTGAAATTCCGAGAACAGACCCTTTTCGAGTGATATCAAAGCTGAGCTTTCAGCATGGAAGGAATCCTTTTGGGATGCCCTTTGTCCTGTATTTCATTCAGACTTGTGCTGACGATGCTTTGACTACTAGTTTGCCTATTAGGGGAATAGCTTGGAGTGAGGATATCCGAGACACCAGGTCAAAGAGGATACGTAATCGCCGCACCGCCACACGCGGCGATAGGCGCGGCGTTTTCATAACTCGTTTTAACCTGTCGAATGAAGCACCGGACTTCATGTAGACCCCGTCATCGTAGACACTCATTACTGTTTTCGGTCCTTAATTGCATGTTGTCGCCATCAACACTGCCTAAAACAGTCTTTTGCGAGCGGGACGTCGCACGCGACGCCCAGCAGCGCGGCAAATTACGATCCTCTTGTCACATACCCAGGATATCCGAACAAACGCTTTCCTTCAGCAAACTGGTCTTACGCAACAAAGCGACCCCTAATGAATAGGCTCTGTTGGTTCTGTTGGTTCCGAAATCTTTGAATTACACACGTGGTAAGCAAAGTAACTTGCCACTATGCCATCTATGCCCCAATCCATAATATGCTGTCCAAATCGGGTTAGAGCTGGGAGAAAAAATCCAACTAATCAGTAAAATCAGTGTTTGAGATCCACTCACTAATTTTCGCAGCCGCCACTACACCCTAAGAAGTGCTTGGGCTCATTTTTTCGTTGATTCCCAGCTGTTGAGAATTGATCTTGCACAACGATTTAACTAAGTTGTGAATTTTTGTCGTCGCAAACAAAGAGTCTGATTTAATGCTCATCCCCTTGGCGCATCTTCGAAAAGCAGAATAGACTCCTCATATCAGCAGTCCAACAAAAACGGAATCTAATAGTTAAGAAGGAACTAAAAGATTAATTTCAGCTGGTGCCGATGGCGACGTTCATTGTGCCAATGGTGCTACTGTGTGGTCTTCGAAAAATTTCTCAGCAACGTCAGACGTCCATCGCACGGCTCACAAAGGAGAAGTGCGATCAGTCCGCCTACATGACCAGATTGGCACAAATGTGGCAAAAACGCTAGCTGTGATAACTATGTTCATTCATGCTCCTGATGAGTTTCATGTGACGATGTCCAGCTGTTCAAGCAAAACCGCTTAATAGCTCTAGATTCTGTTTTCTCTTCTGAGCATTCTCGATAGGCGTTTTCTTACAAGCTTCTTAGGAACTTACTGAGAGCATCTAGATGTGTTGAAATTGAGGACCAGTAGCGGTTTCCTCTTCTCGTCAGACCCCATCACGGTACACTATCCGCAGCACAGTGCGTACCACAGCTATGGCCTCAACACCAAGATGGTATTCGTTTTGTGAAGAAGGGGCTAGAAACCAGAAGTTCTGGAAAATCATGGAGAGGGCTCTTTATTGTTTTCGCAGAAGTTTAGGTAGAGTATAAGCAGTAGGTATCTTCCATGCAAGCAGCTAGTCCCTTCCTCTTGACCTGGGTTGTCGGAGTCAAGGGAAGGTGGTAGAGGCGACCCTGGGCTTCGATGTTAAAAGATAATTATATTGCAGGGCAGCGGGAGAGCCGAGGAGTGCTGGAATCTCCGAATCACCTTGTGCGCTGCTTGTCTTGGAGGAAGAACATTTGCATGCCTTTCCGTCCCTTCCCACCCAAAGAACTCGTTCACTCATTCCGGAGCTCTTGTTCCAAGCTCGGGAGAAATAGTCCTCACCTCCTATATGGAACACCAATTTTGAGCAATGAATCCTCTAAACAGCCCTTCCCACAAAGCAACAAAGCACGGCAAGAAAGCAAAGCGCCTCGCTATGGTACGCATTGTTCCAGTATTGTGTGCTATTCGGTCCTATTGAATATTCTCAACTTAACTACAGTACTTTCACGATTACGATTTCCTCGGTCTTATTGTTACAGTTCACAGGTGACTGTTGAGCAAGAGATTGTCTTCTTAGTTACCAGTTTTGCGGCCATTCATCGAGCATCTCTCAATTGAACCTCTAACGGACAAATTTTATGGAAGCCCCTGTGCAGTACACTGCCACAGAGCAGAATGATGTGCATTTTTTCTGATATTTGTTATTTTCTAGAGCTGTCAGTTATCGTCACATATACTTGATATCTGAAGGCGACGAGAGGTAAGGCTGCAAAAGTATCGAGAGTCCAGACGAAAGAGAGGAAGAGACGTTTCTATAAGAGAAGAAGGTTGGCACGGGAATACCTATCGTCGCTAGGACACCTCAGTTCGCCCTCCGATATGGATGATGTATAGTTACTGATAGATTCACTGAGTCCTTGTTTGATACTGATTGCAGTATAACTGGTATTGTATCTCAATGTGATAAAAATAAGAAATATTAGAGGGGTCTACAAAAAGTGAAGGGTTAGTGAGCGTCAACAAGCTGGATAGCGTCTGACCTCTACTGTCTGTGTGTCTCTACATCCTTTTTCGCCGGGACCCGGGCGATTCTATCGTCGACAACTCAGGTCACGCCGCACACGTCGCGTCGCGCGGCGACGCGGCGCTGCGATCGTGGAGTTGAAGGATTGGCATTGTTTCACGGCGTCCTACTAACACTTTGAGATGAATTGCTGGTTCGACCTCAACTAATTTCTGTACTATAGCAGCACCTATCATTCATTATACTCGCTACCTTCGCTTTGGAAACGTATTCTACATAGTTTCTACCTGGTTTTCACTGAACGTCAACATTTTTAACGTTTTTGCCTTATGCAAATATTTTGATAGAATCTTTCTTATTTCTGGCACAGGCACGAGGGTTGTCATGTGATTTTTTCGACATGAACCCCATCGTGAACGGCGAGAACTCAACAATTCGAACGAGCCGCGAAGCAACAGAACTCGTACGCGGCGGCCGCTACGCCGCTGGCTCTCTCACCAGCGCGGTGACCCACTTATCATCGACGATAGAATCGCCACACACCCTTTTTCGCCAAATCCTTCCTTATGAGAATTATCAGTAGGCCATATCATCCGTATTCGTTCGTATCAGACGTTTTCCAACTGTTGGTCTCCTTTATCAGAGTCAGCAATTGGCGGAGCTCAGATCTGCGCGTCGAACGACACCGCCTCATCACCGCAACGGACAACACTGTAAACAAGTGCGTACGTTGGCCATGGCACTCCCCGAACCCTGTAAACACATCTGCTCGTGTAGACAGGCATTGCGTGGAACTGCACCATCCCATTACCTCTGCGTGGGAGCCTAGGCATGGCGCATCCACAAATGAAGCTAATGGGCGCTAAAACACCTACTGCTTGCTCCTATTCCACGAAGGGATGCATTCCAGATGCATTTCTGGATATCCGAGTACGCTCGCTTGGAACGGTACACAGAAAACGGATTTTTCGAGAAGCTCG